ATCATAAGGTTGATTTCATTCCCTTAATTTGGTCAATTAATAAGCATTTGAAAATAGGCATATATATCAATGTTGATTTTTAATTTTATGAAATAAATAAAAGTGAGAATTAGATATGGTTACAGGGACACAAAATATTTAAGTTGAAACATAATCATCATAAAAGTTGATTCAAGTCAGATTACCTGGGTTATTTATCTACTATTACCATTAATTTGTAAATCACTTAAACTTTCTAGTTCTTGGTTTTCTTCGTTGTGAAGTAGAAATAATACTAGTAACAACCTAATAAGGATCCCTTGATAAAGTAAAAGGAAGCACTTATAAGATTACATAATGATTTTTGTTATAAATATTATAGTCATTAAATATAGTCATAAAATTCCTAACATAAAAGCTAACCATAAAAGTTGTTGATTGTATTGAAGAATAGTTTTATAAATATTGTATAATACTTTTACTTCATGATATAAACTCAAAAGTATCATTCATTTAAACAAGATATTTTCACACATTTTATTACTATACAATTTAGTGGTTTAAATATATATTTTTTAAGTTATGGTATCATCACAACAATCATTCTGATAACATTTTCTTCATTCTTGTACTCTCTATTAGTAGCTCCCCAGTATCCCCTAGTCTCCCTTGCCATAAGCCTAGGGAAATATTAATCTAGTTATAGTCTCTGTCAATTTACCTATCCTGGATTTCATATAATGAAAATCACACACACAAAAGAAAATAATAAAACATTGAAAATCCTTAATCCAAGTGAAAACAGAAAAATAATAGAAACTAGAACAAATAAAAAACATTTAATAAGGGAAAACAAATTATAATATGCTAAATTTCAATCTATCTGTACTATCTATCAATGTACTTTGTCTGAAGGCAAGACTATTCACATTTCTGATTAATATTCTGAAGAGATTCAATGAAGGCCTAATCCACACGGGGACTCTGAAAACGGATTTGGGGCTTCCACTAATATCCATAGCTTTCTACAAACCGGATGCTCAGAACATGTCTTCCCATGATCTTGGATTTTATTATTTATAATCCTTGAATTGCATAGTCTAGTGTATTCCTTATGTTACACTTGTGGTTGTTTTTATTACTAAAGTTACAGAAAAGTATTTGTGAACCCAGAAAAAATATGTTAATTTTATTAAAATAATTGTCACAACATATGAATAACATATCTACAAGAGGAGGGATGATTTTAGTTTATAAAATGGTTCTTCAAATCAAAACTGACCTTATAGAAAAATGAGTAGTAAATTTCAACACAATGTATTAGTATAAATAAAGCTAGATTTTTACCATCTTCCTCTTTATATTATTTTCACTTCCCCTAGGTGTTTTTTTTAAACTTAGTCTGAATAATTTAATTCAAAGTCATTACCTAAACTCAATGATGTAGGCATCTCTGCTCATATGTGTGCCTGAGAGCAGGGACATTACTAATCATTCAAAGAGAACTGAGAATTTGACCTTGATGAGTATTATAAGGATGTATTTCAGGAGTATCTCAGCATGAAATATTAGAATACAATCACATGAGAAGAATATTCTTGTGGAAACAGAATTCTGTGAGTTAGACTGACACAAAGTGTTGATTTCTAAATATGGCCCTAATGGAATAGAGATCTAATTCAGTTGTTCTATCAGAATTAGGGGGTATTACATGGTTTAAAATCAGAAAAGTTGTGTATGATGTTTGTACCTTTCACTTTTCTTATTCAATTTGTATGCTTAGCAAATGGCTCAAGAGTATTGACTCTATGAAGAAGAACATGGCGTCAGGATTGGCAGAAGGCTTATCAACAACCAATGATACATAGGTGACCCAATTTACTTTCTGAAAGGGAAGAAGACTTGAGACACTCTTGATGAAGATCAGTGAGTGGAAACTTTAGCATGGATTGAAACTCAATGTGAAGAAAACAAAACTCCTCACAATGGGACCAATAAACAATATCATTATTAGCAGAGAGAAGTTTTAACCAACTCAATAGTACCTGACAACAGATCAACAGTGGCTAATAACCTTAAATACACTATCTTTTGTTTGCTGGCTGCTTGTATGTCCGTCCTCTGTGGTGAAGTTCTATTCATGTCCTTTGCCTATACTTTACCAAGCATATTTTTGGTGAAATTTTCCTGTAATGAACACCTTACAGACTATGGGACATTTATTAAATCTAAGTAATTTACAGGGATAAAATAAAATTAACTAAACTACAGAGTTTCCTATCAGCTCAGCATTTTTTTCTCCTGATGTTCTCTTTACTTTCAACATCAAAACAAGAATGTGGTGTTGTCAGGTGCTGTCAAATCAACTCCAACTCAGTGAATTGTCAAATCAACTCCAACTAAGTGAGTACAGGGAAACAAAGCGGTGCCTGGTCCTGCGCTATCCTCACAATAGCAAATATTTTAAAAACTCTTTGTTGTAGCTATTATGTCAATCCCACTTTTTTTGACCCTCCATTTTAGGAAGCATGGTGTGTTTTCCCAAGAATGGTTTCAAAGTAATTTCCTCCCAGGCACATTTGCCTATTTTCCAGCAGTGTGTGGAATAGTCAATACCCTTCATTAACACTGTAGTTCAAGAGTATCAATTACTCCTGTTCTTCCTTAATCATGCTCTAGTTCCTCACTCATATGAGGTGATTGAAAATACTTGGGTCATACGAACCTTAGTCCCACACACTCTTTCATGTGTCATTGTGTATTCTTAATCTCATTAATGTGTTACAGTTTCATGTTTTGTTCTTTACTTTTCATGAACTTGATTTCTTTTGAAAAATACAATCAAATATTCTATAGGAAATTATTTCATTTGTACTAACTTGATGTGTATTGTTTGTTTTTTTTCCTTTTCTATATTAGTCTATATCCATACATTTATGGTTAAAAGGCCAATGAGATGAAGTGACCTTCACAATGCTTCATATCAGGAAATACATAATATAGAAATAACTCAACACTTCTGGGGTTAAATATGCACTGTGAAACTTTATTTTTTAGTACAATTATGATATGCCTGATGATTTTCACTGCAAACTTGCCTTTTTTTCCTGTTAGAGCCTCTGTTAGAAGTGAATCATTGAATTCAGTCTTTACTAAAACTCTATTGTGGTCAATTTAAATCTGACTCACAGAAACCCCACAGGACAACACAAACTTCCTCCCTAGGGAATCTTGGGCTGTTATCTTTACAGAAGCCAACTAGCACATTTTTTTTTCCTTCATAGAATGGTTGGTGGATTTAAACCACCAGTACTTGGTTCAAATCTGTGAATGTTAATCACTGCAACACAGAGTTCTCTAGCCTTGACTTGAGACACCAAATAACTAAACCTACCATTGAATCTATTCTTGCTCATGTGGATACAGTAGAATTGCTCTACAGGGTTTGCAAGGCTGTACATAATTCTAGAAGCAGATTTCCATGCCTCTCTCCCTTAAGGAGGTCTGTGGGTTTGAACTGCCAACTTTTTGAGAACCAGCAGTAACGTCTTTCTAACTTGGAGTAGAATCTGGCCCTTCAGTTAGCAATGCAATGTGAAAGCCCAGCATCACTAGCTTTTAAACTAACAGTGCACAGGTTATATTGCATGGAAAACACAAAGTGAATATTCTCTTTGTGAATAATTTATTAGCATGGTAATTGACTCTATAATGTAAATTGTGGCATGCTTGGACAATGAAATATTATTTATAAATAAAAATGAATAATACATAAACCACATGTATGAATCTTAATCAAATTATACTGAGTAAAATGAGTTATTCCCTTAGAAAGAGTAAAGAGTTTTTGAACCCATTTAATTACCAGTTAAGGATTATGTTAACTAATCTGTATGTTAAACAATCTGGGAGAGGGACAAAGCTTGATGGAGAAGGGTGTTAGGACAGAACTATAAAATAACAACAAGTAATGGGGTGATGGGTATACTCCTAATCTTAATTGTGATAGTGTTTTCAATTGCTGTGTGTGTATATATATATATATATGTATATATATACATATATATATTGTGTATGTGCAATTCATTAATGCTAATTAAATCTAAATAAAGCTGTTAAAATTTACATAAAATGTTAACAATATAGAAATCAATGAAATAATATGAAAGCCTGAAGGAATGTTGCCTAACCCAAGAGATAGTGTGATAGGAGGGTAACAAAAACTATGTTCATGTAGTGATGCTACACACATACATATATGGGAGCAAGAACAGGGAGGGGTGTCAAGGGAAGAAGGCCATTGGGCATTGTGCGTAGGGACCAGAAATTTCCGATTTTTATGAGGCACATTGACTAAAAGTATATCAGCAAAATCTACTCAATCCAGAATGAAAGTGGCCATGACACTGTGTTAAAATCAAGTGCTCTACCTCTGACTTGTTTTATGAGACTCCAGCCATTTCACACAGAACATAGTCACTCAGATTTTTACTCTGTTTATTTATATTTTAACCTTATTCAAAGGATTGAAGGAAAATTGAGCTAGACTTGTATTCTTTAAATAAAAACATAGGAACTCATGATTATTTACAAGGAAATAGAATTTCCCACCCATATAATAGAAGATTAGTATTTGAATTTTTACGTGAACACCAAGAAATTATTGGAGATTTGACATGTCCTGAAATATATTTTTAAAACCTGTACTTCATAATATTATAAGACATTCTACTGTGTTTGATAAGACCTTTGTTTCTTTTACTGTATTTAAACTATTTGAAGTAGTTCTTATGTGACTCATACATTCATATATTTATTGTGAAAATCTTGCAAAATGAGGACCATTTTTCCCCATTGAATAGATAATCCTCTGATGACAGGGAAAACACCACAATGAGCTCTAGTTGGTGTTTCTGAATAGCCAAATAACTGATAAGTCAAATGGAAGTTACATTCTAGCTCTCTTCTGGGATGTCTTTTGATGGGATTCAAATATCATCATCGCTGTTTTACCCAGTGACTTAGAATTTTTGGTGCTGGAGCATCTTCAGAATGCGTACTCGAATCTCTTTGGTTTTGACACTGTAGACAATTGGGTTGAGCATTGGAGGCACAAGAAAGTGCAGATAAGAGAGAAGCATATACACCTGTGCTGGTAGCTTCTTCTTCCCAAAACGATGAATCATGGACAGGCTGACTAATGGGGTGTAAAATAGTAGCACAGCACAGACATGGCAAATGCAGGTGTTGAAGGCCTTAAGTCGCTCAGAATTGGAAGCAATGCTCAGAACTGTCTTCAAGATTAGTACATAAGACAGGAGAATGAGCAAAGCATCTAGTCCCAGAGTGGAGAGCATTACAAAGAGTCCAAAGCCACTGTTCACACGAGTGCTGGAGCTGGCCAGCCTTAGAACATCAGGATGAACACAGTAGGAATGAGCCAGAGCACTCACAGAATGGAATTGCAGTCGTCCAAGGAGCACAGGCAGGGGCAAATGGAGGACAGCACTACGGGATACAATGGCCAACCCAATGACCCCAATACGCTTGGTTGTGAGGATAGTGGCATAGCGCAAAGGCTCGCGGATAGCCACGCAACGGTCAAAAGCCATAGCCAACAGCACAGCTGACTCGATGACTGAGAATGTGTGAATGAAGAAGAGTTGTACAAAACAAGTTGCAGCTTCCACCTTCCTCTGGCCCAGGATGAAGACAGCTGCCATAGAAGGCAGCGTGGAAGCCGAGAGACCGAGGTCAGCCATGGAGAGCATCGAGAGGAAGAGGTACATGGGTGTGTGGAGACTGGGTGCGGATTTGACCATGTGCATGATGGTGACATTGCCCAGCACAGAGAGAACATAGATGGAACAGATAGGAATAGCTGTCCAGCAATGAGCATTCTCTAGTCCTGGGAGATCCATCAGTATGAAGAAAAACCTGCTGACATTACTGTGGCTAGGAATTTCCATAGCACTCCTGGTAAAGCTTGTCCTGGATGACTGTAAAGAAAGCAAAGAATTATTCTTTCAAAATTATCCCCTTCACCTCACCCTACCATGCATCCGTGACCCTAACCAACAGCGTAATTGTGTGTTTCCTTTTCCAACTCCAGGGACAGTACTAAATAGTATTGCTTTAAAGCATTCCACTAGACTGGACAAGGATGCATATTTCCTTTTGGGGTATTTTGCTTAGTTTTCAACTGCAGACCTAGACCACTTAGATTAGAGAAAACTTTTCCATTATCCTAAAATAATGTGGCATTTTAAAAACAGAAAGGAAAACTTGAGAGCCCAGGGACTGTGTGTATACGTGAGATTATTCCCACACCACCATATGGGGTTCTAAATATTTTGAATAAGAGGAATTGGATTAAATTAATGATGAATTATAATGTAAGCATCATGATGCAAGGCTGACTATGAATTTCTGATATTACCACACATATCTTTTTTAGAGAGGTGCCTAGGAGAGAAAATTATTAGATGAATAGTTTGGACCCATGTGTGAATTTATTATTTAAATACCCAATCTATTTTTTTTACAAGTAACTATCTACAAAGTTTTGGAATTTCTAGTTCAGATTTGTAAAAGACAAAAGATGAAATCCAGAAATGTTTGCAATTTGAAACATTAAGTGATATTCTTCATGGGGTCACACTTTTCCTGAGCTTCCACTCTATATCCAATGTTAGGAACACAGTGATAGACAATATTTAGCTTTTGCTTTGGACTAGTCTGGTCAAACTTACTGGTCAAAATAGAAAAATGCATAAGTAATTTTAGGAGAACATTAACACTGGGACAGGTAAAATGTCCCATCTATAAATTTACAACCTACTCTCCACAACTAGTTTCTTTGTTTTTTCTAAGCATGGTCTTGGGTATCATCAAATAACTTAGTAGAGAAGGGGATAACATGAAATTTGAGTTCATGCCATTACATTGGTGTGTTAGAAGAAACCATTCATCATATATCTAAAGTAGACATTACATGGTTGAAGTCTCATCTCAATATTTTAAGGGAATTCTATTAATAGTGGAAACTTCAATATCTTCCTGAGAAGTCCATTATATGTTAGCTATGACCAGTAAAACAAGCATCATTATTTCTAATTATTTTGATTGTGCCTTCTAGCACCCCCAAAGATAACATTTTCTTCCCAGACTATTTAGTTTATATACAGAATATAGGTTTCTCTCATACATCTGAGGTTGCCCAGGGATAGGTATGAGTCTTTATTAGACTCTAGTCCTACCAGACATGCAAAGAGCTGTCTGCCCAAGAGCGAGAGATTCTCAAAATTAGAGACTAATTGAACAGAAGCAGGTGCACTAGGGGTGTAGGGTAATACCTGAAACAGGAACACAGGCAAATAACAATAGCAATGACCATTCTATGAATGGTGTGACTTCTTATCACTTCAAAATAATTCAGTGTTTAGTAAATGTTAGGGACACTGCTGATATCTAGAAAAAGGTAATGATGAATATAAAATCAAATTATGATAGAGCACAGGTGTCAAAAGTAGAGTTTAACCAGTGTTAGCTATAGGTACTTTTGGTGGGGAAATGAGGTACCAATCTGGTGCCAAGTCATGTTGCAAATTGTTTAAAGAAATAACAGAATTGAGCAAAAGTTGGGAACATTTTATTTTCTTTTTAATTGGGAGTTAAATACAGACATCATATCATTCCTTAGTTCAATCAAATCAAGCTGTCTTGTACAATTGTTACAGCAATCAGTTTCCAAACATTCTTTTCCTTCCTGGACTTCTTAACATCGTCTCACTTTTACCACCCACCCCAACCGCTGTACCACTGCCACTTGGAAACCCTTATTCTACTTGCTCATTAATTGTAGGTCTTATGTACCAAAAAACAGAAAAACAGATAATATAAATTTAAGAGGGTGATCCCCAATGACATAATACATCTGAGATAAATCCTAATATGAACAAACAAACAACAATACAGAAAATTTTGAAAACTAAATCAGGTCCATCATGCATCAGAGGCAGGATCAGCTGACAAGGTTTTAACCGTTCAAGTCAGGTTTATCCCTGTGATCGTCTATTGCCATCTCTCCAATGAATTCTGAAGGAATTCCTACTGATGCTTCCCAACATCAAAACTAAGCAGGTTAAATATTTCTCACGCATGGACTTTAGACAAGGTGATCTTTGTCACAAAGTGAGCTGAGGATGGAGAGGTGACAGGACAACTCTGCCCTTTTTGAGATTTCCCATATAAAATTCACAGAGGAAAATTTCTGATAATTTTCAGAAATTTTGCAACTCATTCCTGAAAAGACTGCAGAATGCCATGTCTCCAAAAGCATCTCATTGTCTTGTGATGTCTGAGTAATGACTGAAGGAAATTTACCTTCTTTCGATACCTCTTGTGCAATAATTAATAATTTAGTGTGAAGAAATTCAGCAATGTCAAGACATTCTAGCCTATATTCTTGTTTGAAAAAAAATGCCATTGCAGATTTTCTCAATTCTTATGCTCTTAAATTTATTTTTACACAGTGTATCTTTAAGGAGAACATGATTCAATGGTAGAGTTCTTATGTATTTTGAACATGATATCAGGAGAAACCAGTCATTGGAAAAGGACATCATAGTTGGTAAAATAGAACAAGAGGAAGTCTTCCACTGAGATAAATTGACACAGTGGCAGCAAAAATTACTGTTTATTGTACATAGGTTTAATATGGTCCATAATTGACTTGATGGCACTTAGGAACAATGTACAAAACATTAGTTTGATTTTTCAGTCAATGCATTTCCTGCCTAGCTGCCACCTATCTATAAGGGAAATCTTGTCCATTGCAATGATGCTGATCAGATTTCAGTGAAATTTCTGGTCTAAGACGGAAAGGTAAGAAAGACCTGTTGATCTAACTTAGAAAATTAGCCAATGGATATCATTTAGGGTCACCGTGATTCAGAGTCACTTAATGACAGTAAAACAAAATGTGTGTTTATGTACAGCTATAAAATTTTGGAACGCATCTACACAATAAAGAGACACCCACAATGTAAAATGCATGCACATTACTACATAGAAATTCTAAAAATAGAATATCTGAGGATCTGAGATGACAGAGACGAGACTTGGACAAGGGCCAGCATGGCCTGTAATTGATTCATTTTTCTCCCTCCATCATCTCCTCTCTGACTCCTCATTTGCGTAAACTCTAAGTTGGTGTGGTAAACATCAATGCCTGATATTTGTATAATATTTTATAACATTTATTAATTCTAAGAGTCCTCTTTTTAAAACAATGTACATGTTTTTATACAGAATTTGCTATTGTACTCATTTCTTTGATGATTCTTTGGAAACACAGATCTTTAAATTTACAAAATACCAAAGCTATAAAAACGGAATCTAAAATTGTCTCCTACCATCCTCAAAAACATTGCACTACATTAGACATATAAATTATTTAGAAACCAAATCTATAAATAAGGTACTTTTCAAAATTAATTCCTTAATTTAAGGCATATCATATGAGTTTCTAGACTTTCATCCTGGAGCTTCATTTGTCAATTTGGTGTTGGTTCTATCACAATGTAATTTGAGAATTATAAATATTATTGTTATTACATTTTCTTACTGTCTCTTTTATCTCTCCTATACTCTTCATTTCTTCATTCCTGTTTTCTCACTTTTATCTCTTTTCTTCATGCTCTCATTTCTTCTGTCATTCTTTGTTTCTTCTATCCTCTGTTCTTTCTATTTTCTTCACTTTTTTGCATATTTTTTTCTGCTTCCTTTTTCTGTAGTGCACCTATGAGTTATCAATTATCTAACATATGCTGTATGTGTGTATTTAGTTGGATTTGCAGTTGATCTTAATCTCTAGTAAAATCAGTTAAGTAATTGTTGGATTAGGAAAAGATTTTGTTTTTCAAAGTTATGGAAAGCATATATAATGGATAGTAAACCTCTGAGAGCCAGAACTACCTTCTTTTACTGGGTCTAACTTGTTTGCCCTTTGACCCGGTATTTATTAGCACTAACTATTAAGAATCCAACCTTTTCTGTTTTCAGGTTTCCACAGCTAATGTCTTTCACAGGTTTTACTCTATGAGGATCAAACAAAAACACCCTCTTCCATTAAGTCAAATGGATTCAGAGTGGTTTGTAGGACAGAATAAACCTCTCCTATACTGCTTATAAAGCTTTACTACTTATTTAAGCAGTCTGCCACATCTTTGTCCCAGGATGTGGTTGATGGGTTTAATCGCATGACTTTTTAGTTAGCAACTCAACACTTAACAACTGTGCCATAAGGCTCCTTTTTCTACAAGTGGAGATGTTTTTATACCTGCATCAAGTGTCTGGCTTACTCCAGAACTTTGCACATGGAGTTTGAAACTTATTTGAATAGCTCATGATTTTTCTTCCCCTTCAGTCCAGGTCTAATCCCACAAAGATCATGCAAAATGCTCCCTGATCTGATAAAACCTAGAGTGAGTCATTTTATTCACTCACCAGAACCCGGAACAAAATCACACGTTCTGTAAATAGTCATTCAGCTGGAGCCTTGGGTGGCTCCTAGCCTTAAAAATAAGGCCAAGTGAGTAGGTTTATAAAGCCTTGGTTCTGGAAGTCCAGAGAGGCTGCACCAAGTCTCTGTGGTATAGGCTCTCAAAGAAGCATTAAATGTGCATATGCCAAAAAGAACAAGCTCATGTTAATTGTGGCTGGTCTTTGACCCCACTCCCAAAGAACAAAATGTTGTAGACCTTAGACCACAGAATCATTTTTCCTGATATTGTTTATTCTCTTAATTCTTTAGATTTTTAAATCAACCCAAAGATCTGTGAATCCTGATCTAAGAAACAGCTTGTACAATTTTTAGATCTTCAAGTGGATAATTTTGATCTCTTCCAAACAAAGCCTGTCTCACCAAATTTATCAGTTATCTTAGAATGGAAACATTGGGTGTTAG